CGTTTGAGGCAATTTTATATACCTTTTATAAAGGATTTTAACAATTTTTTTTTTTATGTTTATATTAGTATATTTTTACATATTTATAAATTACGTTCGGTAACAAATGAGATGTAAGAAAATCAAAAATCGAATAAATAATTTATCGAATTAGATCCTAAACGTAAACAGTCATGACCAAAATCAGAATAAAATATTAAATAATATATATACAGTGTGTTTCAACGAAAATTTGATCCCCCAGAAATTCAGAAACCACGACTTTCCTCAAAATAAAAAAAAACACGTCAATTTGTATTGGGAGGACGAATTTTTATGCAAAATTCATGCCCTCAAATGTAACCCGCTACTGCCTTGCATCAACTCCCCGTTTTTTTAATAGCAAGTGTGGTCGAGTGGCACATTATTTGAAAGGTACTTTTTTTAAAGAGAAATCATACGATTTCTATCTGGCAAAACCGAATTCAAATTTTTATCACTGTGCTTTCTAAAACTTGCAAGGCAAACAGCTTGATAAATTACTCGGCAAGAGAATCTAAAAATTTCATTCCACCTGCCGTTCATCATGGTCTAAATTCGTAGTGAATTCAGTTTCTGGTGCTCCAAACGGAGAAAAGAAATAAAACAATATGGCGGTATTATAATTTTGTTCATATTGTATTTTTTTTTTCTTCTTTACATGACACCACATTTTTTAATTTTCGGAATAACTTTGAAGATAATTTTGTTAAAGAGTTAACTAATTTATTGGTTGGACATAGTGATAAAAAAATTATAGAATTTCACCAAATTAACCAACTAAATGTTTGAAATTACCTCCTGTGACCTTCATACGATAATACAGTATATTTTCAAAGCCTCTTCGTACATTTGCAAATACCTCTGATGTCACTAACAGGCATTCTGTCCCAATTCTTTTTCGCAACTATGCAAAATATGTAGGCGGAGTAGCATATATTTTTGATTTTAGGTATTTCCACAAAAAAAAATTTAAAGGCAAAAGATCCGGTGGTCTGGTTGACCACTGTATTGGATCCCTTTTGCCAATCCAACGTTCTGGAATACATTGATTTAAAAATTGTCTTGCGAATATATTATCATAATGTGGTGGTGCCCCGTCCTGTTGGAAAGTCAGTTTATTCTCTAAAAGATTATTACTAGATTAGAATGTGTCAGTGATGAGCGGATCCATAACATCTTCCTTCAAACCTAATTCATCATTCTTGATTCTTAGAATGATTGAATTTAAATAAGTTCTTCAGTTGAGATTTCCTTCAAGAAATAATTCGAGATAATAATTCGAGATAATAATTCGAGATAAAAGTCGTTCAGTAAGGGTATGACTGGTTCTTCCAAGTTTGTTGTTGTTGGGGCGCTAGAACCAGAAAAGTGTGTTTTCATCAAGATTTCAGCACTTTCGCGAAGTTTGTAAGTTTTTCTTTCATCTCCCTTAGTTAATATGCCGATATGCCAATGTGGGTCTTTTAAGAGTGCTTTTTGTAGCCTGGAGGCCTGCGGGAAATTCGATTTTTTTACAGCAGACCGTCCAAATAGCTCTTTGTTTTTGTCTGCAGACTTTCTTAAACTCCCTGAGGTTAATTGATAAGAATCTCAATCATTTTGAGTTTGGTGCGTTTGGCTGTATTTAAAGCTTTTTGGGTTCTTGCTAAAGTGTTTCAATTCAGTGTACCACTAAGACTTGGTTTTGCGACTTTAATGAACCATCATTATTGGACAGGATTTTTTTAAAGCATAGCTTATTTTGTTTTGTATAACTACCGTATACCTTCTTAATTTTATATTAAATCCTGGGGTTAAAGCCTTTTTATTCCGCCGAAAATCTTCTAAAAGTTGGTTGTAGTGTTTTACATGCATCTTCCTGGGATAACGAGATTTGATAAAGCTTTTTTCTAGACTAATAGTATAGGTTAGCCAGCGGTGCCAGTTCTGAATTTTATTCGATATTTCAGCTGTTTCTAGCATGATATCCGTGACTGTTTAGCTACGAACGTTAACCTTTCCGGAACCGTGCTATAAAAACTTACGTTGCAGGCCGTGCGGGGTAACTATGGTACCCCACTAAAATACTTTAATAATTCATTTAAATTATACATTACTGTTTGGAAAGTTATATAATAAAGCGCTAGTCACTGAAATAATTTGTTTTTATTATTAAAAAGATGTACATTTTTTTTTATTTTACCTGTAATTACAATAATATGATCTTATTTATCATTTTTACAGTCAGGGCAAAAAAATGTTTTAGTTTCTTCTCGATGTATGTTGCATATGGGTTTTCTGCATGTACTACATGATATTTTAGTCTTTCTGTCCCGTGTTCTGGCACAAAAGCTGCATCTTCGATTTGTATATTGTTGAATGTCTCTGGCAGGGTTTTCTGACACAGTGGCATTGCTATTAGAGAGAAATAAATCTATTGCACTTTTTACAGTTTTTTGAAAATTTTTATTATTCTGTTTCCGGTGTAGAACGCTTGGGAGTGAAAGTTCTTTTGCCAAGTTTTGTAAAAAAATTCGTCGCCTACTTCGGTCATTACTCTTCCAATCGGGAAACTTTTTAGTAAATATAATATAGGCATTGAGTGCAGCCATATCAATAATTTCCATAAAAATCCTAAATGGCCATCTCCTAGTTGAACGAACACATGTATATTCTCTAGTCATTTTATCTCCGGTGTCAACTGACCCTTTGGTTTTATTGTAGTGTAAAATAATTTCAGGCTTACGTTTTGCTTTTTCATCAGAGGATATTTCGTCGCTGTGAAACTGTGTCGATAACAAAATGACAGCTTTCTTTTTTGTAGGTACATAGGATACTAATGTGAGATCATTAGAAAATCCAAAAATAGAGGAACGTTCTTCGCGCGCAGAATTTGGAGCAAATTCAGCAGGAATCTCTTTTTTGTTGGCCCTTAGAGTTCCCGTAATTGTAAGTTGACGTCTCAGCAGTTCTTCGGCTAGGGGAACAGAGGTAAAAAAATTGTCTGTGGTAACTCCACGCCCTGATCCAAAATAGGGTTTAACCATGTCTAGAACTACCCTAAAACCCTGATTTATTTCTCGTTGATTTTTTATCATTCCAGTGTATATCTGACTGTTCAAAATGTAAGCAGTATCAGAGTCCGAACAAACCCAAATTTTTATTCCATATCGACCAGGTTTACTTTTTATGTAAACTCTAAAAGGACATTTTCCTCTGAATGTAGCTAATCTCTCATCGACTGTGATATTTTCACCAGGTGAGTAATTATCAACGCAATTTTTTACAAATTGATCGTATGTATTGCGAATTGCTTGTAGTTTATCTTTTGTTTCTATTATTCTATTCGCTCTTGTTGAGGGGTCATCAAATCGCAAGTGTCTATATATAATTTTGAATCTATTTCTAGACATTACAGCAGTAAAGAATGGTTGTTTGAATAGTTCATTTTCGGCCCACATTTCCGACAAGTGGAGTTTTCTTCCGTGATTCCTCCCACTTGCTATAAGCACTGCAATGAAAGCGTATAATTCAGTAATTGTAACATTCTTCCAACGCATTTGATCATCAGGATGAGTTTCATTAAATTTTTCAGAATATACTTCTCCATGTCGATTTGTGTGAGTGCATATGTCAGCTAGCATATTGTCATTTAGATAGCATTGGAATGCTTCTTTTATTGAAGTTAGAACCATGCTAAAACGAATTGCGAATTAATCAAAACATTTGTTTATTTTCAAAATGTATACTCACCTATTATTTTGTAAACCTTCTCGACAATTTAATATATTATGAGCCTTGCGCCTTGTAGGTGCAGGGGGTTGCGTTTTCCATTCATATCCTGATTTCGATTTTAGTATTTCCGCAATTGGCTCAAAAGTAGACTTTTCACTTTCGTTTTCAGAGACTGTAATTTCATCTAGAACTGTTTGTTGTTCTTCGACATTGTCGGTACTTTCTGATTCACTATCACTGATCTCGTATTCATCATTGTCACTCTCTTCTAAAATTCTACGTAATTCCTCTTCAGTATAATGTTTACGTCGCGCCATTTTCTCCGAAATACACAAATACGTACCGCAAAGCAAAGAAATTACAACTAAGATGCACTAAAGTAATTTAAACCTGATTATTTTAGTCTAACAGTAATCTAAAAATAGAATATTGTTTACATTTCATTTCATTTCGTTTACATCATATTTGGCTGGCCGACGACAGGAATATACGCGTATGATTTCAATACGCAGCAGGCCGTGCGGGGTAACGGAGGTACCCCAAGGAATTAATTTCAATTTTACTATAAAATTGAAATTATATTTAATAATTTTTACAAAAAAATGATTTGGTAATATATTTTCTAAGATTACCTGGAGGGATAAAGAAAAATAAAAATATTTTGAAAAGTTATAAAAACAAAACCGCATCTGGGGTACCTAAAATACCCCGCACGGCCACGGAAAGGTTAATAAAGGTAGGTTTGATGCTTCTAGTTAAGATATACAAATCTTTGTTAATAATATGGTCATCAAGTGACTTACCTCGACCGTTGTTATCTCTACTTCCCCAGCCTAGATGGGAAGAGTTCCAATCGCAGCCAATAATGAGTTCTACCTTTTGACTGAGACAATGATCTACCATATTTTCCATCTTATTTGTTGGTGGTTGGGTGGCTGCATCCTAGAGGAGGTAGACAGATGCTAGTATCAACTCTCTATTTTTATCCTTTTCCATGGGTATTTCACTTTAACCTCAGTTACTTCTGAGGTCCAAAATTGCATCATAGGGAGGCTTTTTCTGGGAACATATGGCTTTTATGTTGTTGTTTGAATTCAGTTAAAATAACGTCTATAATGTACATAATCTGAATATACAGAAAACTGTTACATGACCAAATCGCGTATGGTTTTGTATATTCTCTAATGTAAATATTGCCATATTTAGCCATTGCATATATTTTTCTGCTTTTTGTACCAACTATTAAACAAATTCTTATTCTACAGGCTTATATAAGAAGTTTTACAATGGCTCTCAGATACGAATACAGAGACTCCGGAATTACGATCCAACATTTGGCTCCATTTTTTGTTGACACAAAAATGAATGCATTCAGCAAGAGGCTTCAAAAAAGTTCCTTCTTAATTCCAGACGCTGAAGGATACGCCAAATATGCTATAATGACATTGGGGAAAGTTGATGAATCATCTGGATACTGGACGCATGGTATTCAGGTGTGTAGTATTTCTTAACTCTTATTTTTTTTATTTTAAGTGATAAATAATGGAGTGCAAGTGTGTGATATAACGCGAAAGATGAGACATAGCTTCTTATAAGCTAAAAGTCCTAAGATAAAGTATAAGTATAAGTTAAAATAAATTGCGACGTTGCCGACATGTACACAAAATCTAAAAAATCTAGAAAAACTGTGCACTGATAAGTATCAACCGTTCGGAGAGTTTATTGTAGGAGGGCGCCTTCCATAGTCGTTTACTTGTTTAGCTTGTAGCTAATATCATGATTTTATATCGATGCACTTTATATTATGTAGAATAAAAATAACAATGACATAGTTTTTCTAATACTTCAATAATGATCTCAATAAATTTATAAAAATAAAATTTTAAGATTTTATACCACAGTAATATAGTTGAATATTAAAATATAAATATATGCTTAGTTTGATTATTTCAGAGCTTAGAATAAAAAAATTGTTCTAAACAAAAAGATGAATAAAATATGCATATATACCGACCTACAAATATTATGAATTTCAACAACAATCTAATAGAAAACTATACTGTCCATATGGATTTTAAAGTTTTAGGTCTTCAAAACAGATGGCGGTAAAAATATTGATGCTCTATGAGGTGCTGTTTTATTTCGTTGAAATATAAATACCTGCATTGTAATATATAATAATATAGTGTATTGTGTAATTACACAGCACTATAGAAACTAAACCATCGTATTAATTCCTTAAATGTTAATATTTTTTTGTGATTTTAGACGTTTCTAACAAAAGTTGCTCCCACCTGGCTAAGGATGTACATTGCTGCTCACATAAATCGTAATTTTAGGGAAGATTATTTTCTTCAGCAAAAAACAGGATAGATACTGAATGTAATAAGATCTTATAAATAGCGATACTGTAAAACAGAAACAACGATTTAAGTTTAAATTATATTTTACATAATATACTTATTACATTAAAACAATACAACAAGCGGGTTGCGACAGAAACGTCAAATTGTAATTTCAGAAAAAATCTTTGGAATAATAATTGTAAATTTTAGGTCACTCGTGAAGATACTCACTACCTATATTATTTTGAGTTGTTGTATAGATTGTCTCAAAGTGATTAGTCTGTACAGGATAAATGCACAACATCGATACCATACTTAACTTTGCAAACTTGTATTAAAATAAACGTCACTTGTTACTACTTAGCCGAATCCATCTTTTGTATTGAGGGTAGCTAAAGTACTAATGTCCACTAACGACCCTGCCTGGCTTCCTTCTGTCACTGGTTCTCAAACATAAATAATATTTGCTACAACATACTTGGGTTAAATTAAAATAAAATAAAAATTAAGAAATGTCTTTTGTTTATGTCACACAAGTAGTTTGTTTTTAATTCTACAGTATGTGCTAGCGATACATACCATTTGTTTATAGATTTAAATAAAATCGAATAAAATAAAACTAAAATATAAAGAAACATTTTATTTATTTATTGTTCCGTTCAAAAGCTAAAGGGGGAAGGACTTTTAAAAAGTGCACTGTATATGTTGGCAGTAACAAAACACTAGAAGTATCCGAAAATAAAACTAATAGATAAGTTGAAAATAGAAGAAGTCATTGTATTTAATTTCATGTGTAATTAGTCGTAATTGTACACCATTTTATTTAGTTCCGTTTTCTGTCAATCGCTGTCACATCTAGTTTCTACTTAACTATCATCATCTTTATTATTATCGTCACTGTCATCACTTTCTCCGTTATTTATATTTATAATAATTGGTTCGATATCATCCAACAAATTGTCAATGTCTTGGCGAAATTCCCATAAGGTTAGCATTGCATATCTTACCCTGTACAGACTAGTCACTTTGAGACAAAGTATAGTATACGAATTTAATTGCCACCGGCACTGCAAAAATCTAACATCATATTTTTATTTTATTACAAGGTCATTATAGTTTGTAATTTGGTTACGTAGCAGTAAGCATCGGGATCAGTAAAAGATATTTTTTTTTAATAATGAATTGAGTTTCTAAAAAACTACCTGAAAAAAAACATTGACAGTTTAACTTAAGAACAAAAAACAAAGTATGGTTACATCATCGAAAAGAGAAAAGAAAAATATCCTGAGATATGAGAAGTTATAAGTATTCTTAGATTAAATTAGTTATACATTTATTAGTATATAGTAGTCGAAGCACACATATACAAATAAGTAGGAACAAAATTGGGAGAAAATATGTTAATAATAAATAAGGGAATGTACCAGACAAATGTCTTACAAGTGACCAAACACCGAAGTCATCTTACCAATGGCGGATACACGGGGTATATGGAGAAATATCCTCCCCCTCCAAGAAAGATTGAAATAAAAGGAAACCTATTTTTTATGTCTTTTATGTAGTTTGACTTTAACTTTTTTATGCCATTTGGTTAGTATTTCATTGAAAGTTCTCCCTCCAAGTCGGCAGTCACCCACTCCAAGGCACATGTCTAGATCCGCTACTGCATGTTGCTGTACAAAAAAGGGAAACAAGAAGAACATCATGGAAAACACTCTGTTTTTTAAACTCATCATCATCCAGCCAAATTTTTTCACATCCATTGTTGGATATAGGCCTCCTCCAAACGTCTCCAGTTCTCCCTATCTCTAGCTGCTGCAATCCAGTTTGTTTCTATTCTCTTAAGGTCTTCGGTCCATCGGGTGGGTGGTCTGCCTCGACTTCGCTTGTCGGCTCTTGGTCTCCACTCCAATAATCTCTTCGTCCATCTTCCGTCTTCCATTCTAGCAACATGTCCAGCCCACCTCCACTTTTGTTTATTGATTCGCAGTATAATATCGTCTACGCCAGTTCGTCGGCGTATCTCCTCATTTCTTACGCGATCTTTCAAGGCCAGGCCCAGCATTGATCTCTCCATTCGCCTTTGTGTTACCCTCAGTTTTTCGGCAGTAGCTTTCGTTAAAGTTAAGGTCTCTGCTCCGTAGGTCAAGACTGGTAAGATACATTGGTTAAATGCCTTCCTTTTCAGGTGAATTGGGATATTTGTTTTAAAAATGTCTCTCATCCGTCCATATGCCGCCCATCCCAACGTGATTCGTCTATTTAGCTCGCAGGTTTGGTTGTCTCTGGTTATTCTAATTTCATGACCCAAGTATGTGTATTTATCGATTAATTCTACCTTGTTGTTATTGATCTGTATCTCTTCGCTTGGAACCATATTGGTCATCATTTTGGTTTTCTCGAAATTTATCTCCAGCCCAGTTTCTTGTAGTATGTCATTCAGTTCTTGGAGCATGTCTTTGATCTCTCCCAGATTATCTGACAGAAGCACGATATCGTCCGCAAAACGTAGATGGTTTAATCTTTCTCCATCGATGGATATTCCTTTCTGTTGCCATGTTAGTCTTTTAAATGCATACTCAAGAACGGTAATGAACAGCTTTGGTGACATGGTATCACCTTGCCTGACTCCCCTTTTTATCTTTATTTTATTAGTTGCAGAATATAGACTTATGATTGTTGTGGCATTTTCATATATATTTTTAATTATATTACAATATCTGTGGTCGATCCTGCAATCTTGTAGTGCTCTTAAGATGGACGGCAGTTCCACTGTCTCAAACGCCTTTTTAAAGTCTACAAATATCAATTCCAAGGGACGGTTATATTCGTTAGTTTTTTCTATTAGGGTTTTTAGGCACTGCAGGTGATCGTTTGTGCCATAATTAGGGCGGAAACCAGCTTGTTCCCGAGGTTGGTAATCTATCACTTTCTAAAATAATCTGTTTATAAAATTGATAAATTGGAATAAGTTTATTTATTCCGTATATAGTCAGTAGATCAACTGTGTTAGTTAACATACAAAATTCCATAAAGTACGGTCTTGGGTTACTCCAACCTCTATAAGATGGAAACTTTTTTAAAATCAAACTATATCATGATGAAGTGCTCGATTGTAGTGCCGGTGATACATTGTTTCCGGTTTTATAGGTTATTTTTTCGAATTATTTTTCCTAGCCAATAGTATGCTACTCAGAAAGAAATTTTGTTCGCATACAAACGTTAATGATAATCTAATACTTAATATCTACAAAGGATGCTGAATACGTACCTATACGTTCTTAATTCTACTACTTTAAAAATTTTTATTGTAACCTATAAATGTAACTTTTTGCTGTTTGTATTTATTTCACAACATTTATCACTAGCAACTCACTAATGTTACGATGTTTTAAACAAATAAACATAATTTAGTTTGTTTAAATATATATTTTAAAAACATGGTTTCCTTCAAATGATATTTTTATCTAGTCATTTTTCAATAATTATGTAAACAAATTATAATATTTCTTTATTAAAAATAAAAAGTTTGAAATGTTTTATTAGTAAATACCTACCTGTTCCTAAAATTTATTTTATTTGGGTACAAAAATGTAACTGGTGTTTTTTGTATTAAACTTGGCATAACAAATTTTAATTTATAGAGCAGGTACAGCGTCATCTATACGTAAAATGCTGCACTATAACACAGAATAAGTCAATAACTGCACATTTTATTCGTCAAAAGCCAAGCAGTTCAAATATCTAAAACTAGGGATATGAATAGAAAATAATCAAAAAAATGATGAAAAGGTTGCCAATGTGAGTCCATAATACTAATATTATAGCAGGAGATGAGTGAATACTTACAATTTTTCATAGTTTTTTTTTGTTATATTTTTGGCTACCGGTTTCGAGACATACAATAATATGCCCCATCATCACGTCGCAGTACATATACCATTTTTCTAAGTAAAACACTTGCACGTCACGATTTTTACAAGGTGACGTCACTTTGTAGTTAAAATTTCCAGAACATCAACCTTAGAGTTCAAATTTTCCTAACACACCTAATAATACGAAACCCATACGGAACTACTCGATCTTTCATAGGCGTCAATATAGTGTAATAATTAGAAAATGTAATCATTATTATATTGAAAATTTTAGGAATTATATTGATTAAACAACCAAAAACATTTGTTACTATTAATAATATAAATTTTACGAAATAATTCTTTAAATTCCAACTCCACATATATTAACTCCACAAAATAATAATTTTAATTAAATATATTAGACAATTGTACGCAATTGATACGGAAATACTTCAAATTTTATTGACAGTTCAGCGAGTGGCAAAAGTGTATTAAGTGTTGTCGATCTGTTAGAGTAGGAATTTTGTTTATGTTTTGAGTGGTTTTGATTTCTTACACAATTTGATCATAATATAATATATAATATAATATAAATAAATTGTATTTTTAAATACAGATTAAATTTAGATTATTAGCTTTAAAAACTAATTATTGTTGTGTATTGTGATTGTGATGTGCAAAAACAAATAAATAGTCTGTAGAAAGCTGATAAGCTTTCATATAAGATAGATTATTTTGAACAGGAAATATTAGCGGGAAGTTTTTACTATTAAAGTCCTAAAAAAGGTAAGTTTAAAATTTAGAATATATAATTTTGTATTTAAATGTTTTCTTATGTATTTTGTTGAATAGTTGATATTTTTAAAATTCCTTACTTACTAACTATTCTTATGTTTTGGCAACGCTGTGGGGTTCTGACGACGTAAATCTTGAATGACGTGCAAGTTTTTTATATGAAAAATGCTATAGATATTTGTTCTAACAAAAATTATAAGATAAAACTAACATGAAACAAGCAATGAACAACTATATTAGAACAAGAGTTAAAATAAAAATAAGCCAACAACTATAATCCTAATTAAGTATGATAATTTATACTTTATACTACAAATAATATAATTAAATGAGAACTGTAACCAGAGTTAAGAGATAAATTACCCAATACACAAGA